TCCTGTCCCACGATCCAGCGGTGTCCTCACCACAGCTGGTTTCACCGGCAGTCTTCTCTCCCAGGCATCTTCAGTGTAGGCACCTGGCTGTTACAGCTTGCAGCTTCACAGCCGCGTGTCAACTGCGCATGCAAGAGCAGCGCTGCGCTTTGTGAAAGTTCCCAGTAGACTATGGGGAGGGAAGGGGGAGTTCAACTTCCGCTTCCGATCACCTTAGGCAATCGCAAAGGAAGTGGGAGTGGGTACCTGTCAAATTTGGGTACCCGCTGCCCCCCCGCACCCCAAAGGTGCCAATCCTTAACCAGGAATGGCGGACAAAGGCTTAAAGCAGAACTTCCCCTTTTGGGTGGAGCTCCGCTTTAAAGCATATGTATAACTCAAACTTTTTTTCTTAAAGTTTAGAGTAGAAAAGGGTTAAAACTGGTCAGTTTTTACTGCCTGTGTCTCAATGGGGAGATTTCCCTTTCACTTACTGTTTAAGAGAACCATGAAGTAGGAGGAAATCTCTACAAATTGAGAGGGCTTCTCCTCTTAGACTGTTGTCATCAGAACAGGTATCCCCATTGGAAGATTTGCCGTTATGTCCTGTTTTTTTCTCATTGATAGTGGCGACTAGGAAAACTGCTAGATCTCATTTTAAACTTAAGCTGGCTGACTGCTTTAGGTCAAGGAATATGGTCAAGGGGAAACCAAGCACCCCATCAACATTGTGGAGCTCTGAGCAGTCAGTTTGTCCCTGTAGCACTGGACATCCAGTCCAAGTACATTTAGACAATACCACCAAAGTGGCATATATCAACTATCAAAAGGGCATGAGGAGTCTGGCTGCCTTAAAGCAAGCAAACCAGAGTTTCTCATATACAGAAACTCACTGTCCTGTGATTTCTGTGTTCCACATGCCAGGAGAGGACAATAGGTAGGGGGAATGGTCTTCATCCAGATGTGTTCAATCTGATATGCCAAAGATAGAGAATTCCAGATGTGGATATCCTAGCCTCCAGATTTAAAAACAAGTTACCCCTGCTTGTTGCCAGAACCAAGGATCCTCTAGCCCTAGCCTTGGATGTTCTACAAATCCCCTGGTCTCAGTTCAGGCTAATTTATGGCTTCCTTCCAGTGCATATTTTGCCTCTCCCTGGGGCTGGATCTGAGGGGGGCTGGGGTGGGCTGCACCCCCCAAAATGTAGTTGTCTTCTCCCCCCACACTGGGCTCCTCATCTCTACACTCACAGCCAGGACAAGGGTGGGCAGCCTGGTGCAGTAAATTACCAAAAAGAAAAGTCCTGACAGAAGAAATGAGAGCTGGGAGTAGGTCTGAGCTGTGCTCTTCCCACTCTTGTCAGAACAGCAATACTCCAAACAGCAGATGACATAGAATCACTCTCAGATCAGACTGTACATAGACTGTACCTACTTTCTACCAGCATCTCCTGCTGCAGAGAGCACTGATCTCCCTGTATGACTTTCAATGAAGCAGCTGAAAGCTGCAGGAGAGAGAGGAGAAATGGCTTACAGCTGCTTCATTGAAAGCCATACAGGGAGATCAGTACTTGTAACTGCCCCCACCACTGCACCGATCATCCCCAACTGTTCATCAGATTTCCCTCTATCTGAGTCCCCCCCCCCCCCCCCGTGTGCACCTCAGTGCCCAACTACTCCCCCCATCCTCCGCAGCAATAGGAGAGCAGAGAGGCTGGATCTGCTCTGCCTCCCCCTGTGCCTGCCCACAGTCCAGTCTGTGCAATTTCTTAGAAGGAGATGTGTGGGCGGGAAATATTATACAGAGCAACCAGCAGTCCTGTGATGCTTTTGGCTGAGCCATGAGAGCCCTCCCTTCCTTCCCTTCCTCCTTCCCTTTCTTTCTTCCTTTCCTTTATTATTTCCTTCCTCCCTTCCTTTCTTCATACAATCTGCACTCCTCTCCCTGAACATACTACCCACCACCAAACACTCTGTAGCCCTCTCCCTGCACAGGAAAGATCCCAACTTTAAAGTCGGGTTCCTACCCAGAGTCTGAAGCGGCACTTGGCTCTGCCTCTAAGCGATTTGCTGGGAGCCTAAGCCAGCTACTTCCTCCCCCTCCATAGCCCAGCACTCCAGTGAGGGCAGGGAGAATGCATTGATCAGCGGTCATGTAATCGCTGAGTTCTCACACTTAAAGCCAGCAGGGACAGATGCAGCATCCACCTAGGTAAGTATATTTTGGGGGAAAAAAAATCAAACCTATACCTCTCTTTTAAGCAAAAACATTCCCCTGCACTGTTATGAGTCTGTTCCACCATGCCGATGGGAGTTTCATGAGAATTTCAGCACCAAGCCTCTGTATCTCACCTGTATAAGGCCATCACTTGGTCTCTTTTCATACTTTCCCAAAGTTTTATTAGGTGGACATCGAGTCTTCTGTAGATGCAGATTATGTACACAAGGGTCTTGAAGCAGCACTCAGAACATGGATCTTTTGACCCTTGTTTTTTTGGGTGCTGTTGGTACAGTTTTGTTAGCCCACTCTTCATATTCACTGCTTGAGGACTTTACATGGCATATGAATATGTTGCCTATTTCCTTAACTGTATGATTAAGATCATAGTATTTTTTACTAACCTTTAAATTCCATATCTTGGAGTACCGTACAGGACACATGCCCTCCTCCCTTCCTTTCCTGGGTTATCTCTGCAATGCTTGCTACAAAACTGAGGATTCACATCGTGGGTAGGGTTATAGGGGAGGCATCCTCAAAAGTTTGCCAGTGTCCATTCACCTGAAAGTGTACTCCTATAACCCAGAGTGTATGAATATGTTGCCTGCGTCCTCTACTGTACTTCAAGATATGGAATTTACAGGTAAGTCAAATTTCCTTTTTTCACCAAAACCATGTAGTAATAATCTATTGCTAACAGAGCAAGACTTTTCAATTAAATCTTGCTCATTGGAGCAATTTTACTGAATTCTGATGTACTGGCCAAAAGGTATATCCCCTGCAGTTTGCCCTGAGACATATGAATGTTGAAGCCTAATGGCCCATGATCTTTTCTTGTTATTATCACACATACCGGCCTAAAGGAAAAAAAACAGTGCCCTAAAAGCCTTCATTAGGGCATGGACAATGTAGCAAAAAGGTCTATGTTGGAAGTTTCTAACTGAAGGCACAATCTGAAAATGTAAATGCAATTGCATATTAATTCTTCTCCTGTTAGAGATTTATATCAAGAAGCTTTTACTGTAAATCCAGTTAACACCCTTTGGGTATGTTATCCAAGTCCTGATGGGTTTTTTTAGCACCCAAAATGCGTTGGATGTTATTTGCTTTTCTGTTGTTACTCGTGATAAAAGCAATTAAGGATCCTGGACTCTCAAGAAGAAAGTTTGCTCTCTTCTATGTTTTCACATATTTTAAGGGGGGGGGGATTTACTAAAATGGTGCAGACAGAATCTGGAACAAATGTGCACAGCAACCAATCAGCTCCCAGCTTCAGCATTTTCAGTTCAGCTTTAAAAATTAAAGATAGAAGATGATTGGTTGCCAGGCACAGCTGCTCCAGATTCTGGATATTCCAGTCTTACTAAATCCCTCTCTATATGTAAGTGACAATCTGTGATACTATAATCTATTAGTTGTTCTAAATACAATATATGTATCACAAGGTGCAGCACTACTCGTGCATGCGCAGTGGGCACCCGGCTGTGAACTGGCAAGCTGTCACAGCCAGTTGTCTATGCTTTTGATGCAGGCACTAGGGATAGAGGACGGCCGGTGAACCTGGCTGGTGTGAACACAGCTCTGGACAAACTGTTTTTTAAAAAGTCAGCAGCTACAGTTTTTGTAGCTGCTGACTTTTTTCAGATTTGACTGGAGCTCTGCTTTAACTCGACTGTAAATTAGTATCAGGAAATAGACAAAAGACTGGTTAGTGGTTAGTTTACCAATGGTTAGTGGTAAATTAATGTATGTAAATGTATTGGTATGGGTTTGGGTAAATGGTGGTTTAAGCATAAATGAGCATACAGAAGGTAGATTCAGACACTGTCTCCTAGACAGTATAGGCACATGACAAAGTAACTTAGAATAGAATTCTGAACCACTAGACTGGAATTAACTTATGAAGTCAGCAATAAACAGTGCATATAAGCATTAACTGCAATGTGAATAGTGATACTATAACTAGTCTTTAGTGCACTCTAGGAGGATGGCTAGGATATGGTGCAATGTCCCTTAAGAGGTACCTCTTAGCATAGGCAATAAGTAAAGGTCTTTGTGTAGCAGCTGTAAAGGGGCAGTCTTTAGTCCTGACTCTTCAGCATTGGGGCCTAACTGTACTGTTGGTGCACATGAAAATAGTCCCAGTCAAGCCTGCAGGCAGCAAGAAGGCTACTAGCTGTCTGTATGGCCAGTTCCTAAAGAACTCAGTCTCTTTAACAGCACATAGTAAATCACCATAGCAGCAGCTCACTAGTTCCAGCGACACTACAGTTCACCATCATGTCACACACAGTGATTAATCCGCTCTCTGCTCTGCACCCAGATGACTCTGTCTTTTGGCACCCCGAACATAGCACTCCTAATCCTGCTCAGGCTGCCGATATGCATCTGTGGTGTGGTACACACTAGACAGCAATGTGCACTCTCTGGTCTCCCTCATGGCAAGTGGAAGCTGTGTCCTGTACAGCCTGAGAAAATGCAGCTCTTTCCCTTCCTCCTGGTAATATCTTTCTGGGAAATGTAGTTTTTGATTACAGTAGAGTCTCTTATCTCTGGACTACAGTTCCCACAGTGCAATGCTGCCTGACTCGGCCCATTGGATGCTTCCTTCTCAGCAGCTCCCTCTTCTCACTGATACAGCCATTAACCAGTTCAGCACCTTAGGACAGCAGCCACAGAGAGCAGCTGCAGCCAGTGTTTCTCTCTCACTCTCCATTCTTAGCCAAGCACCTGGCTACATTTATGTTTGATGTATAGGATGTGATGTATTGACTTATCTTAGGGGATGCTTGTACTGTCCTTTTTAAAATGAAACTGCAGAGTTTGACATTTTACAAGAAATTTTCCTAAACTTTCTCTTAAAGGCTGATTTAACATCTTTATTCTTCAAACTGTAAATCAGGGGGTTTAATATCGGGACACCGGTGGTGTTAAAGAGGGAAGAAAGTTTATTGGAACCCATTGTAATATGTTCAACTGGTCTAAAGTATTGGTAAGACAAGGTACCATAAAGAAGGATGATGATTGTGAGATGTGAGGAACATGTGTAGAAGACTTTCCACCTCCCATTACTGGAACGTATTCTCAGTATGCTTCTTATAATGAAAACATATGATATAAAAAGTGAGACTAAATGGAACAAATGCTGACAGGAATACTCCTTCAATAAGCACATAAAGTTGCAAAGAAGAAGTGTCACTGCAGGATAGCTTCATTAATGGTACAAGGTCGCAGAAGAAATGGTTGACTTCCAATGATGTGTAGCAGGTAATGGATGATACTTTCCAAGCACAAGGCATGATATCTAAGAAACCCCAAAACCCAACAGACACCAGCCAGACCGCAACAGACTTTGTGGTTCATAATTACATGGTAACGTAAAGGGTTGCAGACAGCCACATAGCGGTCATAACCCATTGCTGTCAGAATTAGCACTTCATTACATGTGAATGATAAAAAGAAAAACATTTGCATCACACACAACCAACAAAGGAAATTGATTTATCTCCAGTGATGAGTGTAATAAGAGGTTTATGAAGAGTTATTGTAGAGCAACAGACATCAAGGAGAGACAGATTGGCCAGGAAGAAATACATTGGAGTGTGAAGATGGCGATCCGTGGAGATCAGTAGAAATATGGTCATGTTACCTCCTAGAATGATGAGATAAATCAGCAGAACCAACAAAAAAATAGGAAGCTGCAGTTCTGGGACATCAGAAATCCCATTAATGATAAAATATGTAATTACTGTTTTGTTGGATTGTTCCATATTATACAATTTTTCAAAATTCTACAAAGAAAAATGATTTCTGATATTAGTCTACTGTGCCATATTAAGCTTAAAAATGTAAAGCTGAACTTCAGTCAAATGTGAGAACAGTCACGTACTGTGCTTGGAGATGGACCCTTTGTGTCTCCCGGGATCGTACTAGCTCACCTACAGATGCAAGAGCCAATGGAAGTCCAGGCTTCACCAGGGAAAACTTCACAGGACTACCCATGGAGAAAAAAATACACAAACAAAAGATGAGGCACCAAGTTATCAGTCAAATGTGCAGTCAAGAACAAAACAAAGTTCAAGGCTTGCATCAAACAGACATAGCCAAAAAGCATGGTCTCAACCAGAGAATCAGTCAGCAGGAGCAGGAATCAGTGGTGAGGATACCAGAATCAGTGTACCAAACACCGGATGTAGGAACATACTGAAAACAGGAACAGGGTACAGGATTCAGAGGAAACCCAGATCTCAGGAACACCAGGAACCTTTTAGGTCAGGCATCTTGCTGAAGCTCTACACTTCTTTAAATAAAATTAACATTTTTTACAGGTGCACATGGAAGGTTTCAAATGAGTAGTACTAATTTAAACCACAGCTGTGCACACCTGGGCAACACTAACAGTTGAATTATCTGAGCCTCCAGTAGAAAACTGTTGGAGCTAGGTGAGTGATAACAGGAGCCAGGGAAGACAAAGCTGCACCGGTGTGTCAATCCAGCTGGGAATGACCCATGACAAACACTCTTTAACCCAGTTATATATGTGTTAAAAATCAACATTACGCACATTCATATTTTAGTGCTCTATTTAGCTGATGTCCTGGAGTTTTACTAAATGCAACCTTTTACTTTGCTAACGATTACAGAACCTGCAGCCAAATATAAACTATTTGCGTTATATAAACAGCTTGCTGTTGTATAATAGTTGATCAAACACTGCTCAAGTTTATCCCTGAAGATCCAGTTGTTCCCTCAATGGGTGCTGACATCTTGCCTTTTGCACAGCATAATCACAGCAAGGCCACCTCTTCTTTCGCCGTAACAGTCACAAGTCTGTGCATTTGAAAAACTGATGAAGAAGATGATGAATATGCTAATATGTTTACATACTTGGGGAATAGGAAGATTCACTAAGGCTCTGTTCACATCTGTAGAGTGTAGAGGAAACACAAGAAAGACACACAAAAACACGATGCGCATCACCAAATGCACTTGGCTAAATGCCAAAATTTAGTACTTGAGCTTCTTTGTTTTTTTTTTTTTAATCGAAAATGCTAAAAATAAGCTAAAATACACATCATAACATAACAAGCTATTCTATATGTTGTTACATTTTTGTGCTGCTAGAGTATGCTAGATTTCATGTCATACTCATGCTTGCTGTACACTTAATTTGCTCAGTTATGTAGTGTCATGTATAGCAGTTATCTTCATACAGCTGTTCCAGTCCTTCCCCGGCTATGGCAATCTAGAATCCATATCTCTGGTGATGCTAACAAACTTCATGTAATCTGCAATAAATAGATTAAGTGAGTACCAAATCAACTACATCACATTATGTGGCTTCACAATTACTATTTGCCGTGCAAAGAATTTCAGAGTTTAATTACTTAGTATCAACGTGAAATGCTCACAGTAAATATTTGAAAATACATCAAGGCTCAATGAAATATAAGGTAAGATTTAACATAATGGGACATACAGTAATAGAATACCTCAATGGTGGGAAAAATCCAAATATTTCTAAAGTGTAGTAAAATGAATTGATTGCAGCAGACACAAAGGAAGATACATTTATATTTATATATATATATATATATATATATATATAAACTGCCTGGAGTTTGCATGTTCTCCCTGTGCCTGTGTGGGTTTCCTCTGGGTACTCCGGTTTCCTCACACACTCCAAAGACATGCTGGTAGGTTAATTGGCTCCTGTCTAAATTGTCCCTAGTATGTATGTGTATGTATGAATGTAAGTTAGGGACTTTAGATTGTACGCCCCTTGAGGGTTAGGGACTGATGTGAATGTACAATATATATATGTAAAGCACTGCGCAAATTGACGGCGCTCTATAAGTACCTGAAATAAATAAATAATATATACACACAGTATATTCTCTTAGCCACAGCTTGGACTCATTGATCTGTTTAACTATCCCACGGTACTTTATAACTTCCCTTCTTGTTGGAATTTTTTATACCACTAAAAGCAAAGGGGAGGAAAAAAAATGATTATGAAAGTAGATGTTGACTTAAGAGTACATTCATATGGGCGCATATCTGCCTCTGGATGCAGCAACACTGTATTTTAGCTGCATACAAACTTGGCAGTTATCTGTGGCCAGTTTGTGCACAGCCAGGACTCTGAAGTCACACCGACTCTGGATACACACTAGCTGCATCCAGGGTCAGTCTGAGGACCTATTCATATTCAGATGAATAGTCATATGAGAACAGCAGTGGAGCCAGCCATTAATTATCACAGAGTACAAATCATACAGCTTCTGCTGACAGCTGCTGTTGGTCACACACACTGGGGTTGATTTACTAAAGGCATACAGTCTGTGCCCTGAAAGTGCAGTTGCTTTATATCCGAGGGGAAGCTCTCTAACAAGACAAAGCTCTGCTGATTTCTTTTATCCAATCATGTGCAAGCAAAAATGCTGTTTTTTATTGTTCGTTGCATGTTCCCCTCAGATCTGGAGCGAGTGCACTTGGAGTGCACAGCCTATTTGCCTTTAGTAAATCAACACCAATGTGTTCAGGGTTGTAGGGGAATCCCTCCTGTGGAGCTATTGTGTTCTCCTGGCAAGGGTGGGAGGGGCATCCCAAGGAGGAGAACAAACAATAATTATCGTTAGCAGTGGTAGCCACCAGCAATAATTGCATGAAACATCTGACAGGTTGGTTGTACCTAACTTGATTGATCAATCAACTTGGTTGCAACCAGCCTGCCCATACAGTGTTCAAATTTTGGCTGGTCCCTGCTGAACCGGCTGGGATTCAAATTGTCCATGGCTGGCTTTACTGAATGTCATTTAGTTTGACAAAGCACTGTGTTTCATTGATAATTGCTATTTGTTTTTCATAAAATACTGTTTTCACCGTTTTTTAGTTCTTTGTTGTATATCTGTGCTACCAATCTCTTGCAGCCTTTTTCAGCCATTACCTGTCTACATGATTTGCTGTGGCAGTGGCTGCATGGCATTTCTCAGGTTGGGGTTTTGGATAGACATCACCTGTGTAATGTGTGTTGGCATGACACTTTTAGCCTCAACTAGGTCTGAATGTGATGGAGTGACAATGCAGAAGCACAATAAGGAGACAGTTGTCACCCTTTAACAGAAAGTGCCTGAATAAGACTTTTTGTGGTAGGAACTGCAGGTATTCTGTTTAATGAAAGCTACAGATTTTTAAAAATATTGAAAATAACTGTTGAAATACATTAATACTGACAAAATGTATGAAATTTTAGTGACTGGGTGTATATATACTTCAAGAAAACCCAAAAACGTTTGCTGGTCTCCTGGAAATGTTAGTCCCCTGACTGTCAATTTGATCAGCTTGCTTCAGGACTCAAAACAAGTATATAGATCAGGAGTTTTATCTGTAGTTTTACTTACCTGGCTACTTTCTCAATCAATATGGACTATTTTTAATCCGTATGCTGCTAGCATTGATAAATAGATAAAAAAGTATATAATATTTACTTGTTCTAACCTTTTTTTGCATTCCTTCATTTACTTCCTAGTTTCCATGCCTAGGCAATTGATACCATACATCCCAGGAGTCTTCAGGAGGGGAGGGAGAATTCTCAGATCAGCCAATGCCTGAACCAAATACAGATGGATTCCAGGAAGTAACTGCTACATGAATCATCTGCCCTTACTCAAGATGGCCACAGCCAGAAAAGCTTGGAGGTGTTTTTCAAAATGATTTATCAGCAAAGTAAAGCACGGAGGCATGGATGGATGGAAGAGTTTGTTTTGAATATTAAAAATTAATTGTATAGTGCAGTTCAATTTTAAGTTATGTAGAGACAGTCATAAAACTGCGGCTTATAAAGTGAAAGCAATCTACTCCTGAACTGCAAATGAACTGAGTGCGATCACCTTAATGTGTTCACGCAATAAATACGTATTTAAGTGAAGTGGTGCTCT